CTTGCATCCTGTCACTTCAGCTAGTGAGTAAAATAAATTCAAATATAAACAGCCCATGAAATCCTGGAGAAATGCGATGCCAACCAAATGTCTCTTAAATTCCCCCATGGGTATATATTAGAACTATACTTTTTTTTGGGGGGGGGGAGGCTTGCATCCTGTCACTTCAGCTAGTGAGTAAAATAAATTCAAATATAAACAGCCCATGAAATCCTGGAGAAATGCGATGCCAACCAAATGTCTCTTAAATTCCCCCATGGGTATATATTAGAACTATACTTTTTTTTGGGGGGGGGGAGGCTTGCATCCTGTCACTTCAGCTAGTGAGTAAAATAAATTCAAATATAAACAGCCCATGAAATCCTGGAGAAATGCGATGCCAACCAAATGTCTCTTAAATTCCCCCATGGGTATATATTAGAACTATACTTTTTTTTGGGGGGGGGGAGGCTTGCATCCTGTCACTTCAGCTAGTGAGTAAAATAAATTCAAATATAAACAGCCCATGAAATCCTGGAGAAATGCGATGCCAACCAAATGTCTCTTAAATTCCCCCATGGGTATATATTAGAACTATACTTTTTTTTGGGGGGGGGGAGGCTTGCATCCTGTCACTTCAGCTAGTGAGTAAAATAAATTCAAATATAAACAGCCCATGAAATCCTGGAGAAATGCGATGCCAACCAAATGTCTCTTAAATTCCCCCATGGGTATATATTAGAACTATACTTTTTTTTTGGGGGGGAGGCTTGCATCCTGTCACTTCAGCTAGTGAGTAAAATAAATTCAAATATAAACAGCCCATGAAATCCTGGAGAAATGCGATGCAACCAAATGTCTCTAAGTTCCCACATTCGGTGTGTATTAGAACTATACTTTTTTTTTGGGGGGGGGCTTGCATCCTGTCACTTCAGTGATTACCTCAGCCCACCCCATCCAATCCCACTGTAGGGCATACTGTATATCAGTCTGTCTGTCGTCATATGCATGAGCAAATTATATATGATTCACCAATGGTATTCTACTGCATGCAAATAACGAAAAGAACCCCGAAAAGTTACATAAATGTTAATAATTAATTAATAATACAGGAGGAGGATGTAACTTCCAGATAGACTTGAATTCACTTGATGCTATAGTAGATTGGTTCACGCATGAATTGGCTGATGTTTTGAATTGGAATGAAGGGTTTTGTTTTCTGCGTGGGCATTCCGCCTTCAGCTTCTTTGTGATTGGTTCTTCTATGTCCTCATTGAGTGGTGACATAGAAAAGCTAAATATTCATGTTGTCTCCACGAAGCAACATGGCCAAATAAATCTTAGATATTTTTGGGTCGACTTTCGAAAAGGAACGCAAATTTGTTGTCAGTTGTGATACAAACTAGAATAATAATTAAGCATTTTCATATAGGTCTGTTAAAACGAACAAATTTTCGTTGAAAACATTTGAAAACAAAAACAGTTGAAACAGTTGAAAACAAACGTTGGAAGCACATCGCATATAATGATATAAGCATGCATTGACGCAAATTATTTACATTGTAATACTGCATCGTTCCAACAGTAATAATTTCATACGCGACCGGTTTTCTTAATTCTATCACTCAAAACTAACCATTTTTATAAATACTGCATAACAAGCTTGGGCTGTCATGGGCGGTTTTGGGTCACATGTGTTTTTGAGCACATGAATCGGATTCTGCGAGCTCTATATATATACAGCTGGAGTAACGGTACTTTTTTGTTTATTTTTGGAATTCAACTACGTCATGTGATGTTCAATATTGCACCACCACAGCAGTTTAATAGGCAACAATGCTTGTTTTAGGCGATATTTTATGATTACTATACAGTATACAGTATAATTATCTGATCTGAAGTAAATTTTGATTTTATTCGCTTATTTAATTTAAAATAATAGTTATTTACAATTTATTACTTTTTGGGACTGGATGACGTCATGTTGTTGGGAAGTTGTTGCACCATCGCGGACTATAAAAGGCCAAACACATCCCCCCTGTTTCATTGCCAGTATGAACACCACAGCCGAATATGTCAGACCTTCGTAGACAAAGTTTTTCATCCATCAAGAAAAACATAAAAAAAAGGAACACAGGAAGTGTAGTGTCGACATAGAGTGGCCAACAAGAATGAGGCAAAGGGCTTGGGAAGGGAAAACCAGGCCATTTGCAGAAGCCCAAGTAACCAAGCGCCTTGGCGAGCAGACCTTAAATTCACTGCGAGAAACATCATCCTCGTCTGCTCCTACAACCAGCTCAACGGACCCTCCTACGTCTATGACTCCTTCGACTGCACCCACTCCACCTGAACGACCCGAGGTGAGAGAAAAGCTCAGAGCACAGACGTTTGAAACGCCCGTGAAGACACAAGTGAGGCTCGTACAAGATTTCGCCGAGGCGGAAAAAGACAACACGCAAAATAGTCGTGGACTCGATATTTTCTGGCGGATAATGAATGACTGGAACACGCTTGATCGAAATTTGGTCGACGCTCTGCAAACATGGTGGTGTAAACTAACAGTGGACGAAGAGCAATCGATTGAAGGGAAATCACTGCTGGTGACCGTATTTCCCAATGGTGTGTCCAACTGCCTGCACCATTTGGCTGGAAACCTGCTTTACAAACATGGGAAAAAGTCCAGAAACTGGATGAGACGACTGTATTTTTTGAGGAAATTTAAGAGAAATTTAAGGAACTGCATGATGCTAAATACGTGGAGGCACTACCGTCATGTTGTTGCGATGAATGGGAATCTCCAACAAAATAAATAGCAATTTTTGCAATTTTCGCTTATTACTATAATAAATGTAGGTATTGTGATCAGTTTAAACAGTTATAATAATATGTAAACATCCTCTGCAAGAGGTCTACAGGAGGAAAGTTGAGAAAAGGAAGAGAAGAGACAGGGGACTAGTGTGTTATCATGACAACTGCAACAACATAAGAGGCTCTATGCCATATAGCCATGACTGAACACTTTCCGGAAAGGTGTATTGCAATTGGCTGTGTTCATGTCAAAATAGTAAATAAGATATATTTATTGCATGTGAAATGGCCAGATTTTACCAAATAAGGTCTGAGAATGGATTAAATTCGATACGCATTTTTCAACACAAATTTAACAAATCCTGCGGTATATTTAGTTGTCTACACAATTATCAAGTTTCTTTCAAAACATAATGCATTTTTTTACAAAAAAATAGTGATTTAATTCAAATGAACCAGTACGGCATCCTAGTAAACTATATATTTCGAAAACATTCCAGGTACCATGGTAGTATTGAAACCAAGAATCACGAGGAATTCCCCGACGACCCCGTACAAATGAAGGACAGGCCGCGTGTCACTGCGGTAGCACAGAGGTGATTGCACAAAGCTTGAGAGCACAATTTTCCAGATTTAGCATTTCAAATTTGCAAAGACAGCCATGCCCCACTCCAGTCCTCCAACTGTAAGCCTTGCATCCCCGAGTACTGTGTCGGCTACCACCTTGAAATACTTGGAACCATTCCTCCAAGAGCGAAAGCACATGACCCAGTCCCAAGTTCCTGGAAAATCCCGAAAGCAATTCCCACCGAACACGACCTGCTATGCGTACAAAGAGTCTCTCCATGTGTGCGACGGTGATTCCTGTGAGATTACACTGTCACCAGACAACCGGGACACCGATCTAGCGAACTTGGCCACTCACAGCAACACCATAAGAATTCGTATGCCACATTCAGACAGCCCTGAAACTGCAAATGCAACATGCATATACAAACAAAGCCAAAAATCCACACATCTTTCTACTTTTCTGACAAGGCACATCGGAATAGAGTGTTTGCGAGCTGCACAACAGATGGTATGTGAAGCAAACAACGTTTTTCTGCAAGTGAAAAGGGACTTGCGTGGAGGGCTGTCAGTTCCACAGGATACTTATGGACGTAGCTTTGCACATGTTAGAAAACTCGGAAGGCTTAAAAAAACCTTGCGGAAAAACTCGCGTCTGGGTTTACTCTATCATTCTACACCATGGGCATAGACCTCACCATAGACACAGCAATGAGAAAAGCCATCGATGAAAAGAAAGGAATATTCACTCTCCCTGATGAGGCGTTTACCTATCCATTCAGACCATGGGATGTGCGAAAACTCACGATGACAGGTCACACTGGAGCTTATCGACGAATACAGAGAAATTCTCAACACACCAATGGATCCAAATCTAGCATGGATTCCTACACAAAGTTCAGCGCTGTTGGATGGCGGTGACGAAGATGGATCGGTGCCAAACAGCGAAACCACTGACAACTTCTACCTAAGGATGGTTCCTTCCCAGCTCTACTGGGAAAGTAGGTGTTCTGTCGCACAAAGTACCATAACAGGCACTGGCTCTGGCCTCTTTGTCCAACCACTCGAGGGCAATATGCCTGTTGGAGAACATATGTGCATCTATGCCGAGCGAAGTACAACGATTGATGAAATTACTGCGAGCGGTAGTTCACATGTATACACCATTTATTCCCCGAGAAAGAAGCTCTGATTCAATGCAGAAATTGAAACAGGAAATAACATTGGACAGTTTGTGAACCAGTCCGGTGTTTTAGAAGCTCTCATACACCTCAAAGAATTGTCAAGAGAAGGCTATTCTAAGATCAGCGGTAATGACTAAAGGAACACAGATTGGATGAGAAATGCGATGCACAGTTCGAAACTGTTGGCGACCAGATGGTTATCAAAGTGAAACAGCTGTTCGTCCAGACCTATGACCGAGTTGAAGTGTTTGTTAATTACGGTGGCCTGAGAGAATATTGTATTCCTTTGATCATGGAAAATCAATCAAACGATCTGCTTCCACAGCAAATGACCGAAATTGTTCACTGGCTTAATGAGAGTCCTGAGGGCAGCTGGACGACCGCTGAGCGAAGAGATTGGATCATGTTTGCTCGTGAAAACTTTTCACAGTAATAAAATCACTGTAATTGTCAGAATCGATTGAGTTTAACAAAGTTTCATTCGAATTGTCCAAAATGATTCTTATAAAAATATCTTTTTAAGATATTTAATATACCAGTAACTAATTTTTTGGAGAAAATATTGAACGTGATACTGTACATCCGGTCCGCATCTTTTCGATAGAAACATAATTTTATACCTAAAATGTCTTGTTGTCGACATCAGAATTGACATGCATGTGCCGTTCATATTAATGCCCTAATTCCAGTGCAGATCCCCCCCTGGCAGAGTGCATTCAAACGAGGAGGCCAAGGTTGCTCTTGTGGCAACGATCATGTAGTGAATGGTTCTGTCAAAAAATTGATTTTGAATTTTAGACAAAGTTCATTGTGTGTCGCGGGAATTGCCACAATGGTGAACAAACCAAGTTTTCCAAAAGAGGAACATTCATACTATTAGGCGATGTGAAATTTATTGTTCTGCAACGATTCTGAGGTGAGATATTGGACTCGATGTCCGAGAGTCTATCAGATAAGTGGCTAGCCTTGTAGTTATTTATGTCCTATATGGCCATGTCGTCCAGTGCCAGTACTGACGATTGTTTAAGTATCACGAAAACGTAAAGCAATCGAATCAACTAGACTCAGAAACACATGCATTCTATTAACATGTGAGATATATTTTTTACATATATTGTTAATATTTTTTGAATTATTTCGTAATTAAATATTATAACAGTTAAATATTCCGTATAAATATTCAAAATATATAGAACGTTCAGAGATTGGGCCGCCTGTGGAAATGATATGGTATTATATGATATGGGTGAAGGTGACTGGCGAAGTCTGCAAATTGTAGCTTTAATTCAGTCGCAAAAATTGGACGGGTCGGATTTAGTACAACATGAGTGGCTGTGTTGTATCGGATATCAATTACTACCTTCCACGCCCACATACGAATTGGGGAAAACAGCACTTCACTTATCACTCGGTATCAGAATGGAACTCTTTACCTATTGAACTGAAACAATGTACTAATCTTAATCTCTTTAAATCCAAACTAAAACAATTTATCTAATTAAGTTGAACAATTTATCTAATTAAGTTGAGTTTTTTCTAACTATGAAGTATAATTATATATAATCCACTTGTAAATATTTTATAGTTTTAAATAAGCATAGACGTATAGTTTACGAATACCATGTATAATATAGATATATATTACAGGACTTCCCTGAAAAACACTTCGGTGAGTGGAGCTTCCTGAAAAAATATTATTATTATTATTATTATTATATACAAACACGATTGCATATCAGATACAACATGGACGCGAATCGTACAAGTCCATTGGACATCTCATGAGTTAATTGATAAAGTGATTTTAAAAATAAACGTTATCTAAGCCGAGAAAATCCGGTAAGCTGTAAAACATGGAATCTGGAATCTTGGAATCCTGGAATCTTATAATATAACCGCAAAATATGTTATTATTAAGATATTATTATTATACTTATGCAACATATTGTTCTGCATGCGATAATTAAATACTTGGTGAGTTAGCAGAACTAGCAGACCTTGGTAATATATTATCAGTATATACTATACATCGCAGAATTTAAGATGTCCATCTTGATGCCAATACATATTACATAATAATGTAAACGTTGTGCGTGCATCTAAATAATATCGTCGATGTATGATGAGAGCTAAAATCAAGTGCGTAGCAAAATGACCAGGCGGGAGGCAACTAAAGAAACCACTGATACAGTATATATATATATATATATATATATATATATATATATATATACACATATATATATATATATATATATACAGGGTGTATCAAAAAAAGTAAGACAATTTTGAAATTGCTCTCAATTCCACAAGTCTGTTCATGAAATGTAATTTTTGCTATATATGGATTGCTTAAGTTCTTAAATTATGGAAAATCTAAAGAATTTTGAAAATAGTAAATTTTGCTATTCAGGGGGGTGGTCAACTTTTGCTCCCCTAAAAGTGGCTTGCGCACGGAAATGACAAACGGTATTCTTTATTTGAGTTCGTGTATGAAAAGTTCGCTATTTGTTGCATTTATGATAAAATTTCGGCAGGATTTTACCGAGTACAAATCCTCCGAAAAGCCTATGAAAATGTTACATTTTTCTCTGTTGGTGCTGTTCTTGCTTCATTATGAATTCATTTTTACTCCCATGAGAGTTCCATGGAATTTCCATGGAATTTGTGCTTTCGTCTAATGTCTTCTACTCCAGTGACAATGTTCAAGATGTAACCAAAACCATGAACGAAGAATTTATTCAAATCCTTGACTATTGTTCAGCTAATAAACTAGCTATTAACTTTAAAAAAACTAATTACATGATCATTAGTTCACATAAAAAACAAATATCAAATGTCAGAATTCATGAGATTGAACAAAAAGACTACATCAAATACCTGGGCGTCTATATTGATAAACACCTTAAGTGGGGCCAGCAAATAAACCACATAAAAAGCAAAATATCTAAAAACACTGGCATCCTTAATAAATTACGATATTATGTGAACCTACAGATGTTGAAACAACTCTACTATTCCCTAATCTATCCATATCTTAACTACGGAATAATGAGCTGGGGAAACACCTATACTACCCATCTATCCAAAATTCGCATTGCTCAAAATAAATGTGTACGAAACATTTTCTTTGCGCATAAAAGAGAAGATGCCAGTACCTACCTCAATCTGTTGGGAATACTCAACGTTGACAATGTTTTTAAATTGAAAATTGCAATTTTTACATATAAAATCCTTAACAACTTAATACCGTCAGTTTTTGCAAACTCCATATCCATCGCATCTACCTGTCACTCGTATAATACAAGATTCGCGGCAAATCAAAACTTTAGCAGACCA